GAAGGGAAAAGATTTGCCTCCCTGTCTGAAGTTTGGAGTCATTTATGTTTTGCTACCGCCTGCATTTCACCAGAACTTGTTTTCATTTTCTCTGTAACACAGAGACAACAGGCAAAAGTGACAGTTTGAGTCACTTTGGGTACAAAAAGTCTTTCCTGCACATGGAAGATTGGGGTATCTAAGGGAGGAGAGTCAAAGTGGTACACGTGTGCTAATAAGTCGCTTCAGTCATGTCTGACTTTGTGCGACCCTGTGGACCACAGCCTGCCAGGTTCCTCTGCCCATAGGATTCTCCAGGCAAGAATACTGGAATGGGTTGCCGTGTCCTCTTCCAGGGGATCTTCCCAACCCAGGGATCAAACCCACATCTCTTACATCTCCTGCATTGGCAGGCTGGTTCTTTACCACTAGGGCCACCTGGAAAGCCCTCAAAGTGGAAGAAGGAAGTAAAGAAAAAAGTAAGGAGGGAAGGAGAAGACAGTAAAATGTACATGACTCAGAGAGGATGTTTTAAGCAAGTATTCAATGAATAAGTATTGGATGAAATGAAAGGAGAGGATTCATATACAGCTGAGGTTAAATTATGATATGAAAAATAGTGATTTCAAAATACGGTGACAATATAACCTGATATAAGCTATACACTTTGGCCTGTTATCCAGTGGCAACATATGTCCTGTTCTGAATGCAACATTTGATTGTGGGTTCAGAATACAAAAAATAAATAATGGTGTAAAACGTAAGATACACACACACACACACACACACACACACATATCATTTTTCCATCTCAGTTGATCAGCATTTATTATAATAAGTAAATTACCATTTAAACACCTGCCTGGTCCTAGACATTATGCTGTACAGCCCTGAAGTAGGTAATACCTACATATAAGTCATTCATCAAGTATTAAATTATCACATACTGTGTGGTAGGCCACAGGCAGGATGCTAAGAGGGCTTCAGAGATGTTTCCAGGGTAGATCCACTAACAGTAAAAAAGTGTTCCAGTGCAACCTGGAATCAGGCAGGGGGGCGGGCAAGAGAATAGAAAAATCAAGTGTGAAGGTGAACAAAGATAATTTCTATCCTAGTGCTCCCATTTACTAGTCACATGAGCTTGACTTGTCTTTAAACCTTGTACCAACAGTGTTTTCTGAGGATCATTTTAGATGATCTACTGATAAAATGTGGTCCAGATCAAGTGTTCGATATATGTTAATTTCCTTTCTCTAGAAATTGTTCATGCATCTTTACCATGATGGTTTAGTTAATAGATGGCTGATATTCTTTAGGGGTTATTTTCCTTTCAAAGCGATAAGCTGTACTCTTAATATTCTTTTCAAAAACTTTTATTAGATATGAGTTTTTCAAAGTTCTGATCTGATTGCTAATGGCTATTAAGATGTCTCAAACACTATTGTGACTGAAAACAAAGGTATCATTCCTAATTGAACATGGTCTTCCATTATCCTTGACAGGAAAGAACAATATGGTTCCCACAAGCACTTAAGAACACACTTCAAATGACAACAGTCAAAAGATTGTAAGGTCCTGTAAAATATAGAGAAGGAAACTTGAGTCAACTTTTTAACTTACTTTTCTTAGACCACAATAAAAAAGTTGTCTAAAGAGTTGTAGAAAAGGAATAAAAGAGATAAAATATGAAATTTCAGGGAATCTTAAGCTGTGTACCCTGAACTTGGAATTTAGGGAGCTTATTGCCTTCAGACTTAGAGGAACATTCCTTTCTGTTTAAAAAAAAAAAAAAAAAGCTGACTTCTAGTGTTATAATCTTCACTATGGAAGATAAATCTTAAAAATAAGTTACTGGTCAAAGCCAGTCTCTGAATTTCTAGCATTTAAATGTAAAGAAATCACTTTTGCTTTTTCATAGTTTACATCTCACCTGATTGAGTTTTTTATCTTTAAATATGAATTCTTCTATCTCTTTTATATATGCAGACTGTAAAAAAAACCATTCTAGATTTACACTGTTCTGGCTGAATCTTTGCTGGCAGAAATTCTATATCTAATGGCAGAGCTCTTATAGTAATTTGCTGTTCCCCAACTTCTGGAACATAGATTCAATGTATAGTTCTCCTCACAAGATTATTCAACAATGGAATAAAATAATGGCTATGGAAATATTCCCCCCAAAAAGTATAATGTACCATAAAATGCAAAGCTAAAATTTATTCAGTTGAGTATATACAATGTTCCAAATATACAAGGATACCTTTTGTTACTTTAAGAGAAAATTTCCTTCTGAATTGCTCCCAGTTTCTTTTTACCACATCCTATGTTCTGATATGTAGATTATAGTCCAATTGGCTCTCAGAAAGAACTCTACCCTGACAATTTGAAAGTCACTGAGAGCAATGATTCTAGCCAAAGTGACCCATTTAAAAAGATGACCCATTTCAAAACCCATGAGTTATTATTCAAGCTGTTCTATATTTGAGAATTAGAAAGTTATTTCCTTTTCTTACAATCTCATTTGAATCAGTCTTTTATAAAAGGGAAATTTGATCTCTATTTTAATGAAATATATAAGTTGACATTTTCCCTTGCTAAAGCCTGCACTTTATTTTGAAAATTCTTCTCCACCTTCTGATGATTTGTGTTTGTGCATGTGTATGTGTGTGGTCAGAACATTTAGTGCAGTATCATCTATGCTTCCTAATCATCCCTCACTTCTCATTCCTCAGAAACAGCCTCTCTGAGCTGCAGCTTGAATTCTCCCTGTCATAACACTCATTCCCATCTTCAGGTGTCACAGAGAGCCCCTGGCGACTGAGGTTAGTCAGACTGAGTCACCTTCATCTTCAGAGGGGCTCAGTAAACACTCATGGAGAGTGTCTGTGGGAGAGGAGATGGGAGAGAGAGAGAAAGTGGAAGAGGGGAGAATTATTTATGTATTTAATGGAAACATATCAGATATTGAATTTATTGATATCAGATATTGAATTTATTGTTTTTAAAAGAAAAAGAGTTGACTCCAAAAAGCAGCCCCACCCCTGCACAGTGACAAGATGTAAAATCTACTGTAAGTTTCTTATGAGAAAGTTATAAACCTCAGGTGCTTATAATCCTTTCAGAAAGTTCAGGACAGGATCTTTTCAGCACCACCACTTAATGCAACTATCTTCAATCTTCCTTTTCTGGGTCAGTTTCAGCTTCTCACATCCTTCTCCCTGCCCCCATAGGGACCAGGCAAAGTTTCCCAAAATAAAGGCACAGAGGAACAAATCCAGTTCTAATGTATGTGCTTTCATTAGAGAATTACCCTAAATACGACCTCCAAGCCACCACCAGCCACCGAGCGGTACAACGTTGGTGTCCCTTTAACATGACCCATAACCTATGAAAACCAACACTGGGAAAGAAAAATATAGGGTGTGTAGTCAGAATCGGATGAAAAGTTGCTATTCTGGACCTACATAAGGGGCATCTGAGTAAACAAATAACTCTGTTACTTCAGGAAGCAAAATAAAATTTGGTAAAGTCAAAGGAAAGCGTGGCCAGGACCTCCCCGCTTAGAAAGAGGTCTCATTTCCTAGTTATCCCGCCTGCCTACTTCCTTGTCTGCATTGCCCCAGCCAGTAACTCACAGAAAGCTTCCCCAGTCTGGCGGTTTCCCAACTTCTCTAACACGACGCAGGATCTCTACCCGAATTCACCCCAGCAGCCTAGGTGTGGGCGCAAGGTTGGGGGGCCCCCAGCCGGAAACCGAGGGCCGCAGGGCGCGGCGTTCCCCTCCCGGCTCCCGCGCTTCGGCCGGTTTCGGCATCGCGGCGCGGCGGCCGCCTCGCTGGAGCTCGTAGGAATGGGGACCGGCTCCGGGGAACTTCACCCTCCCCCCCAGCCCCGGAGCTCCGGGCCCCCCCAGCCTACCTGCTGCATCTGGACGGCGGCTCGGCCCGGGGTCGCGGTCGCCAAACGCCCGCCCGCAGGCCCGAATGAACAAAGGCGCCCGGGGAGGGAACGTGCCTTTTTCCCCGCCGCACTCTCGGGCGGCGGGCAGCTCTGCCCCGCGGCGGATAGGGCGGCCCCAGCTTCCCGACGCCCGGCTGCTCGCACTCCGGACCAGGGCCGCGAGCCGGCGCCGAGCCCGGGGTCAGCTACAGCCTCGCCTCCCCGGCCCCAGAGATCATTCCAACCTGAAGTCCTGGAGCCGCCCTGCGAGCGACTCTCCTCCCCTCTCGGCCCTGGCGACCTCGCCTGGTCCAGAGGAAGCAGAACAGACTCCTTTCCCGCAGCCCCGGAGCCGCTCCGGCTAGGAGGCGCGGCGAGGCGGCCCGGCCGGGCAGGGGCGGGGCGGAGGCCAGGCCGGCCAGGAGCCCTCGCTGCGGACCAAGGGAAACTGTCTCCCCTCACAAAGAACAAACCAGATGAGGAGCTGCGATTTATCCCCGCCGAGCGGGCTGGAACTTTCCCCATTTAGTGATCCGGAAGAGAAGACTACATTTCCACCTACAGGGGGCCTGGGCCCCAGTTAGGATGCGGTGGGATAAGGAGCATTTTAAAAAGAGTACGATCGATCACACATATTAATTCTATATGAAACAACTGGAATTGTTGTTTATATGTTGAGTATATGATCTCCATATACTTTGCATTAGGAGACAGAATTTGTTGGACAAGTGATCCATTTGTTCAGAACACGCAACGGTTTACTCATCTACGGGAGATAAGTTTTGATTGATTGAGTTGCAGTTCTCTGAGCACCTTATTTTCCTTTTCAGAGCGAGAGTTCTAAGGGCAAGCTAGACTTTAAAAGGTATCTTGTCACACTACTTACGCCCCCGCCCCCCCCACCCCGAGCTTCAGGGGGCCTCGGTGACAAAAGAAGGAAACTCAATTTTACTGCAAAGAGCTTTGCGACAGCGGTTCGTTTCAGGAATACAATGGGCCGGTGGGAGAGACTCACTCCGCCCTCCAACGAGTTTACTTTCAAGCCCAGCTTCATTTCAAAGAAAACTTAAAGCAAAACTCACCAAGACCAACTCCTTAAACTCCCAAATCGCAGGTCGGCACTCCTCCGGCATGGGAACTAAAGTCATTGGTCTCTGGAACAAAACTTACTCGCTTTAAATCTTAGGCAGGGGCTGGGGAGTTGGCTCTCGGCTGGGCTCGCTACCCCAGCGGGTAGCGGGCTGGAGCCGGCTGATAGCTGGGGGACCCAATCAGGGGCTCTCGGCGAAGGGCGGGGGCGCGGCAGCCCGGGCCCTTGTCAGCGGCGCGGCCAGCGCGCAGTGTGCTGCGTTTCCTGCACTTGGCGTCACTCCGAAGCCCAGCCTGGCCTACCCGGTAGCCACCACCCCAGCATGTAGGTGAAGGTGATGCGTCCCTCCTGTCTATTCCTGTCGGTGCAAGGGAGCTCCAGGAAGTGCTTCTCCACACCTCTTTAGTTAATTGAGATCATTTACTCAGATCATCGGACTTCCCTGGTGGCTGATGGTAAAGCGTCTGCCTACAATGCGGGAGACCTGAGTTCAATCTCTGGGTTGGGAAGATCTCCTGAAAAGGAAATGGCAACCCACTCCTGTATTCTTGCTTGGAAAATCCCATGGACGGAGGAGCCTGTAGGCTGCAGTCCACGGGGTCGCAGAGTCGGGCAAGACTGAGCGAATTCACTTCACTGCTCAGATCATCAACTATGAGCCAGGATCCGCGTGACTGTCCTCTTTGAGGTGTTTTCCCCATTCAGAATACTTAATACACATAGTAGACAAAATCAGAATATAAATTTCCACTGAAGGGAGTAAAGTATAAAATCGTTTTGGGGTTTGGTTTCTTATTCCCCAGATGTTGTTCTAGCATCCTCCTTATAGAACAATTATTGTCATTTAACAGTGGTGATATTTTGAACGATTTTGTAATTGTGCAATATATATTTAAGAATATATGACATGACAGAAAAAAAATTAACCCTTTACTTCAGTAAAGTAAAAGCTTTGGATTTGTTATTGTAAAAGGAATGGCAGGTAATGACTTGAAAGTAGATTATGGAATCAATTTCAAATTATAAACACAACATTGTACTTGTTATTTCTAGCTAGATTTTTAAAGAGGTTTTGTAATTGCTTTCTTTAGCTCCTAGCATATGGAGCCATGCAACTATTTTGTTTTATATATTACCGATAGAGAGTGTGGCTCAGTATTGCTATTACCTACTCAGACCTCATGGCATGTCCTATCACAGACAGAAATATTTAGGAATTTTGACTTGTAAGGGAGTCACTGACAGTGACGCATAAATAAGCTAATTTATTATTAGTACAGTGCAAATCACTCCCTTTTACCTATGTGAAATAAAATCCTGATGATAAACCCACAGATATTTCCCCCTAGGTATCATCTGTATATGTCAGATTTATGTACAAATTTTTAATTGCCATTATATTCCCATCAGGTCATTTGGGACTAGGCCCACATAGGTGCAGGTATCACACATGTGTATTCCACATGCTTGCACACATAGGACTCTGTCCTATACAAACTGACTGAAACATTGATAAATATATGTGAAAATCACATATTCACATCGACCTATATGAAGATAGACAACCCAGACAGAGAGAGAAATGATTCAAAAGTAAGTCAAGAGATTGGTGAAAGGATGTGGAGCTTTAGGTGGGAGGAGGGGAGAGGGTGTGGATAAGAGATGAGAATGAGCAAAGTGGTCCAGAATGCCTCCCAGCTGCCCACACATGCACAGGGAAGGCAGCTTTGTATCTCTGGGAGGATTTCTTACAGCAAGCTGGCACCCTGTCCCACTTCAGGAGGAGAGGAAGAGGATGGTAGACTTGATGGTATAGAACCAAAGTACTCTGTTTTATCTGGAGGGAGTGCATAAAATTTATGAAATTAGTTGGAGATAAAATTAACTGATAGTAGCAAAGCCGACTTGACCATCACAAAGAATGAGGACAGTGTCACCTTGCCCTTGGTGTCCACAGTAGCTACTTGTGAACTGAGTCAACTAAAATTAGATTTATAAATGACTTTTAATCTCACCATCAGAAATTTGCTTCACAGAGCACTAGAAAATTTAGGGAAGTGCTTGAAAAGAGAGACCTGTAGTATCAAGATGGTAAACTTGAAAGATGAGAGAAATTACAGTTTGCATGTTAGATTGAGAAAGGAGAAGATAAGGCCAAGAAAGAGCAGAAGGAGAAGCAAATGTAGGAGAGAGAACCAGAGAGTAAGGCATGTATTATTAGTTGTGGCGAAAAAAAACTGAAACGAGTACAAGAGAACCTGGGAGATGGTGGGAACAAAAGAAACCCAAAGAGAGAAGTGTTACTGAAATCATGAAAGGAGAACTGATTGCTTAATGCCTAACACAGTTGAAGCATACCAACATAGTGCCAGGCTTGACTTGTTTAGTTGCCCTTTCTGTAAGGAGATTTCCTCACAGACCCTGCACAGGCCGTGCCCCATGAATTCAGACACACCACAGGCTACGTGTTTTGAAGCCAGTAAGAGTTCATGCAAGGCTTGGGCTGCTAGAGAGGTGGGGGTGGAATCCTGACTTAGTTCCTGCTGGCCACGCAATCTGGGCAAGTGACTTAACTTCTCTGTGCCCCATGGTAATTCCTGTCTGGAAGGGTGCAGTGAGGACTGATCACAGAGCAGTAACATGTACGAAATGCTGAGCATGGCACCTCATGGCCTGGGTGGACAGATGTCATTCTCATGATCATTACGGGCTACAGAAAGCTCCTCTAGCTTGTTGAGCTGGTCTTCCTGCCCTATCTATCTCATCAGCATCATTGCCATAAAAGGACCTGCTGTGTTTCACACCTCTAGAGATACAGTTTCTGTTAGTAGAGCATCAGCAATTAATGCAACATCTCCTTCACTGCCTACTCCTCCTTTGCTGCCTACCACCTCTGCCTACCCACACATATATCCTTCTGGGCATTCTTTTCTCACCACGTTTGCTCCTTGGTGATCTCATTCATTGCCTTTAATATTTGATTTATATTTCTAATCTAGATTCTGAGCTCCAAACTGGAAAGTCTTAAGTATGTCACATCAGTCTTAAGCTTAACAGGTCTAAAATGAGATAATCAAATACTGGTTTGTGAAATGATGAATGGATGGGTGTTGGATGACCCCAAGAGCCAGAATCCTTCTCACCAGTGGACCCAGCCCAGGGTGTTTGTTACATGTCAATAACAGTCAGTGGCATTTAATCACTGTATCAATATCTATGGATCTGTTTTCCCTACTCTTTGAATGACCTACACCTCTTCAAGGTGGAGATTACATCCTGCTCATCTCCAGTTCCCTTAAAAAACCCTTCCGCAATGCCTTGCAAAGAGTGAATATGTATTAACCACTGGTTGAATTCAATTTTTTGCTGAATGCTTCCCACATTCATCAAAAGTTCAACCTTTTGGTCCAAGAAGCTTCATCCACAGTACAATGGCCCCAGTGTACTTCGCCTTCCATGTCAACAAGGCCCAAATGCTGACACTGGAGGCACACTATCCCCTTTCCTACAGCTCTTGCTGTAGCTCTTGTGGTTTGGCACCATTCAACAGCCTGCCTCAGTCCTGGGATCTTGGCAGTTGTATGAAACCACACTAGGTACAACTAGAGCTGAAAGATGAAGGGAATTGACAGCTCCAAGAGATACTCACCCCCAGGCCATTCTAAGAACCCATTTTGTGTTTCTCTCTTCTGCCTGAGGGGGGGACCTCCTTAATGCCCGTAGTACATAAGGGCATCTTTCGTATGTGCATACTTAGTTGCTCAGTCACATTGGACTCTTTGTGAACCTATGGACCACAGCCTGCCAGGTTCCTCTGTCCATGGGATTTTCCTGGCAAGAATACCAGAGTGAGTTGCCATTTCCTCCTCCAAGGGATCTTCCCAACCCAGGGATCATCTCTCATGTGCCCCTAAAACCCTCAGTAGGGGTTCAACAGGGAACAGGGACAGTCTTGGAGATGCAGGTCCTGCTTGCTGTGACCCTCCTTGGTGCAGTAGCACTGTGCTATGGATTGAGTGGGCCTCACTTGGGGAAGGTAGTGGGGGGAGAGGATTGGCATGTGGCAGTGAGGCTGGGACAGGTTTTCTTTCCATGTTGCAAATGCTCAAACAACACTTGTGACAATTACCTGGTACCAACTCCCTGCCAGTGGATCCTCAGCATTTCTTCTCCCCTCTCCACCTAAAGATCAGACATTCACTTCACACTCCCAGAGACATGCAGCATTCTATACAGATTCCAGGGGCTGCCTCTAATGCCATGTTTTTCTCTCCAAGCCAGGAGGGACACTTGATACTTGTGTAGGGACAGTCTTGAATTCTACCTGATTAACACTCACATTTTAAAAGACAGTTGGCACCAGCCTTCCCACAGTTATCTAAACTGAGAAAAACTATTTGGATCCTGTTATTAGATAGTATAGAGGAAAAGAAGAAAATCACAGTACCTGGAGATGTTCAGGAAATAGTTATTGACTATGATATAGGGACTGTGTGCTTGACTCAGATGCAATCATTTGTGATAGAAATTTTGCACGTAAGTTTGGTTGTGCTAATATTTAAGGGATAACTAAAATGTAATTCTCTATTGCCCTTTTCTTAATAGTTAATAATTATTAAACTCTCATTGCCTGCTTTATGAAGCATACATGGTTCAAATCCTATTCAAATTAATTCTAAAAGGCAGTTATAAGCTTGCCTCAGATTTGTATTGAGGATTATTTAAAATATGAATCATTAGTTAGGAATTAAAAATGGCTATAGTGGGATTTTTCTTATAACAGCACTTTTCAAAAGCCAATTTTAAAGTTCTTGATAAATCATGTTCTCTGAAAAAAATATACTTTTCATGAATTGGTCTTGATTAGTCTGATGATCTTGCGTCATAAAGCCCAATATTAACACCTATTCGGTCCTGTAAATATAGGGCTAAGGAATCTTACAAAGAGCAATATCTCTAAGAAATAAGTTTCTAGCATAACAAGCAAACAAACAGACTATTTGGGGAGGAAAGGGATTAATAGATAGGATATCTGCTGGGTAGATAAAGATACGAATAGGTCTGCAGAAAGGTACACAGGGTAGAGAAAATAATGTGTCTTTTCAGTGATTCTTGATCTTTGACTGTTTTACACATGTTTTTCCTTTATCTTTGGGAATTT